TGGGATTCCTCGACTGTTGTCACATTGGCAAAAGTGTGCTTATTCGAATGGAGCTTATTTCGATTAAATCCGATGAGTGTTAAGAAAGTTGTGATCGTTTAAAGTGAAACACTCGAAACGTGCAGAACTTTCCGGACAACCTAATAGTAAATAATTCATGCAGGGAGTTCTTCTCGGCGGGCAGACGCCAACCAGTTGTGTAGGCAATGAACTGCACGGTAGGCGAACGGTAGCTGCTGCTCTTCTCAGTTTTTTTCAGCCTAGAAAAGAAACTTTGTTTTCTCTGTGGAGGCTCTATGCTATTGCAAAAAATTAGATGTGAAGGGTGGCTTTGAGCGCACTCCCAACTATGGAATGGGAACCATTCCTAGAATAGTCTTTCCAGCTGTTTTCACCATATATCAAGCGTTCTGCAACACGGCCGATAACCCTCGCTTATCAATCAGTCCAATGGCGGTCAACTAGAAAACTAGAACACAACGGCAGAGTGGCCCCATCATCACCCATTTTTGATTCGCTATTGATTATGTGGCCAGTTCGAGACTCCTAGTAACACCCGGATTTCAGAATGCGTATTCTCCTTGTGTTGATCATCTTGCTAGCAGTCGCCTCCGCTTTTCACCATGCCCGACGGCACCGACGGCATCGTCGTCGAATTCGTCACAAGGTTACGACGTTGAAATCAGTGCCGGTCGTTATTTGGCATGGGATGGGTACGTCTCTTCGGCTCATTATCGGCGTCACAATTAATTCAAGGAATTGAGGAACTACCATGTCTTCTTTTTTTCTTACTGGAACCTTAAACTTTTAGTTTTTCCAATATTTTTAGTATTTTTCCAGGAAATTTTTTTGAAATCTTCTGCGTCTTCACTTCCTTTCATTCAGGCGATAGCTGCTGCAACCCGATGTCAATGGGAAGAATTAAACGCCTCATAGAAGAAAATGTTGATGGAGTGTACGTGAAGAGCTTAATGTTCGGACAAAACATGATTGAGGTGAGCATTGTTCGGTTTGGATTCACCCTGGTATTGAAGTGCTCTATTACTATTACCCAAGAGCGCGCCAT